AAAGACTTATCGAATTCCGGAAATTCACAAAAATGAAGTAAATTCCCAAATCAATAAAATGTTAGAACAGGGTATAACTCAACCTTCTACCTCACCCTGGAACAGCCCGATTTGGGTAGTTCCCAAAAAACTAGATCAAAGTTGAAAATAGAAGTGGCGCGTCGTCATAGACTATCGAAAATTGAATGAACGAACAATAAACGATAAATACCCTCTTTCCAACATTACAGACATCTTAGACAAACTTGGTAGGGCAAATTATTTCACAACTCTCGATTTGGCATCAGGATACCACCAAATCGAAATGGACAAAAATTACATTTCAACAGCTTTTTCTACACAAAACGGGCACTACGAATTCAGACGTATGCCTTTTGGGGTAAAAAATGGTCCCTCTACTTTTCAGAGGACAATAAATAATGTTCTGAGGGGCTTAAACAACGAAATTTGTTTAGTGTACCTTGACGATATAATAATATTCAGTAGCTCCTTACAAGAACACATCTCTAGAATAAAAAACGTATTCGAGAGACTGAGGAAAGCAAATTTCAAAATACAATTGGATAAATCTGAATTTCTTAAAAAATCAGTTGCCTACCTAGGACATTTAATCACCCCTGAGGGAGTAAAACCCAATCCGGATAAAATCTCAGCAATTCAAAAATTCCCTATCCCAAAAACTCAGAGAGAAATCAAATCATTTTTAGGCTTAATGGGATATTATCGAAAATTCATTAAAGATTTTGCGAAAATTACAAAACCTATGACCGCATGTTTAAAACGAAATGCAAAAATAATACATGACCAAACTTTTATCGAAAGTTTCGAAACATGTAAGAAAATTTTATGTAACGACCCTATACTTCAATACCCTGACTTTGAACGAGAATTCATAGTGACCACAGACGCTTCAAACGTAGCCATAGGCGCAATCCTTTCACAAGGTAATATTGGCCAAGACAAGCCTATCGCTTATGCTTCGCGAACTTTAAATGAGACTGAACAACGTTATAGCACTATCGAAAGAGAGCTTCTTGCGATAGTTTGGGCTTGCAAACAATTCAGACCTTACATTTTTGGACGACCCTTTACAATTGTATGTGACCACCGCCCACTAACATGGCTTTTTAATATTCGAGAACCCAATTCCAAACTCAGACTCAGTCTGAATTATTGAAAATGCATATGCAAAAATTATAATATTTTTCAGTCATAAAATTCAGAAAATATATGCTTGAAAGAATAACTTTTGTTTTTCATTTCTTATGAACTCTTGTTTATTTGCAGAAAATTCATTTTGTATAAAATAAAGAGTTTTGAATTACTGATAAATAGTGTTTTGTATAATCAATTTATTTATATAACTGATAAATTATATTATTAACCGACTATTTCAATACTGAATCAATTATTTAAATGTTCATCATTGTTATAATATAAATTATATTATATACTCACTTATGAAAAGAAGAAATCACTAGTATTTTGCAACAATAAGAATAGGAAATTGTTAAACATATTTTTTGTACATTACTTCAAATGAAAATGCATTTCGTATATTTCAAAATATATATTTCAGTTTGTTGTTTAATGAAAATATCTTCTTATAATACGTTCTCTCACTCTATCACCTTCTTGATGTAAATCATTGGGCACAACGTCTGGAGGTCTTACAACTTGGAGCTGATCATTAACCTCATCTATTAACTCTACATTTAAATTGTGGAGTATGCATATATTATGGAGAGTTGCACATGATGAAATTATCTGGCCTACAACTTCAGGCTTATATCTCAACGTCCTGTCACCACTAAGACATCTGAAACGTTGTTTTAATACACCAAAACAACGTTCAATACAATTTCTTGCAGAACAATGAGCTTGTGTATATCTCCCTTCTGGTGTATTTGGCAGTGCATTCACAATAGGAGTCATTAGCCGGGGTTGCAAAGGATAGCCTGAATCACCCAGTAACCAGCAGCTCCTATTTTCAAGTCTATATTGTGTTTCAACTTCCTCACGAATAGCTGAAGTATGCCAAATATATGCATCATGTGTAGATCCAGCATGTTTCGGATTTACAGCTAGAATTCTCAAATTAGAATCACAGATCTAAAAAAGAACAAGTAAATAATGCATATAAACTTTAAGGACAAACCTACCACTTGAACGTTCATTGAATGATATCCTTTTCTGTTAACAAAATTGTGTTCTTCTTCGACTGGATGTAAAATCCTTATGTGTGTACAATCCACTGCTCCTGTGACTCCTGGAAAATTATATTTTTGATGGAAAGCGAGTTTGATAACATTTCTCTCTTCATTTGTAGTTGGGAATTTCACATACCTATCTGCCAAATGCTCAGTTATCAGTGAAGAAATGTCTCTAATACAATTTGAAACAGACTGCTGACTTATGGAAATATTGTGGCTTTCACCTATAAGTCTTTGATAGCTACCGGTGTCATAAAATGAAAGTGCCACTAAAATTCTCGTCCTAGGATCGATAATGTTAATTTTAGGAGAGTTACTCATATGAGGCATTAGGTCGTCGATAAACTGGCTACATATATCTTTTGTGCGAAATCTTCTCTGGAATTCTAAATTATCCAAATTGAATGGATCATAAGTATTTCGCAGATAGATTCTCTCAATATTGAAGTTTCTCAACCTCTGCCTTCTGTGTTGTCTGGTAACATTTTAATTCACTAATTCCTTTCTTAACATTCTTAACACGTTCAGCGCCAAGGTACTACATCAGATTCCACGATTTTTCATTATTTTTTATTTTTACTTTATTTGGAGCTCTGGTGTTATTCTGAGTAACAATCCAAAAATGGCTTTTTGGTAACTTAGACGCATCCGATGGAGAGCGATATGATAAGGCAATCGAAACTTTGAAAAGCAATCAACAAAAAATTGTGAAAGAAGTTAATTCACAAATTTCTCTTTCCAAACAACAAACAAATAATTGATAAATTTTCCAAACATATTGAACCTATTATCGAAAATCAGAAAAATATTTCTGAATACATTGAAATCTATAAACCAGCTTTGATCAATATAACTGATCAATTTTATAAATATACTGTGTATTCAAGTATGCTAGATCAAATATTTTTAAATGCAAATGTAATTATCACCTTTCTTGATAACGTCGAAAATGCAATCACTTTTGCAAAATTACATACAGTTCACCCTGATATTTAACAAGTCAAAATTTGGAAGAAATCATTTGTGAGCTTCACAATCACTATAGTCTTGACGAAATACTTCAGTTAGATGTCCACTCATGGTATTCAATTATTCAAACAAACTGTTATTTTTCAAAAAATAATATTATCTTTGCCATAGAATTTCCTATAGTTTATCCTAAAACCTTTCAATACTTCCATTTGTTTCCTATCCCAACTGAAACAAATACCATAATCATCCCAAAAAAACCTTACTTGGCTCTCGGAGAAGAAACATTCCAATATATGGACCAACCCTGTACACAAATCTTGGACATGTATCTCTGCAATCAAGAAAACCTGAGTTTCCACCCAGAAAAAGACTGCATTGCCGCCCTTATTCACGACAAGGATGCTAGGTGCCCCCAGATGCCGATAGAACCACCCACCCAAATATTCAATAAAATCAACAAGGAATATATTATCGTTATCACCTCAGAAGAAACGAAAATAAAATCAAAATGCCCAGAGGACCAATTCTTCACAGTCAAAGACAGCACCCTTTTACGAATTCCAACCAATTGGAGTTTCGAATTCAAACGATACAAATTCGAAAACCGCTAAAATTCGAATTTTGGAAAACCATTTGTCTTGCCAAAAATCAACAATGAAGTGTTAAGGATTGAGACACTCGAAAGAAAACCTTCAAGGATAGAAAATATACCACTGGAAGATATCCATCAACTTCAGAGACATATCGATGCGACAAATCAACTATCAATAGAAGACATCGATTACTACCAATCAACTGACTGGATTCTATGAACAATTATCTGTATTATATGAACCTTCAAACAAACGAACAATTATCTGCTTTATTTTATTTGTTTTGGCCTGCCACACCTTCAGGAAAATTCAAAATGCACGGAAGAAACCAAACTCCGAATTGAAAGTGAAATTTGAAGGAAAAGAACTTGAAAATTCGCCTTCAGTCTTGTTCCAGCCCGAAGTCGAAATTTGNTGATCGAAACACGTGTCGAGGTGTAAAAATAACGATTCGGTGTTGGGAAAAAACTCCAGTAATATTCATTACTACACCAAAGGTTCCAAACAGTACATCATAAAAACAATGTTACTGAAAAAGAAAATACCACAAAGAGGCTATTTTTTGCGATGTCATTTATTTCACAATCAGATGAATGTATGAACAAAAAGAAATTCAAATTACCCAAGTGAAATATATTATTTTCTCCCATCAATAGATAAAAATTCATCAAAAACAAATTTTGTTACTTTTAAATATCATACTTTCTGTCCAACTTCTGTCATATTTCAAAAACATTGATTTGTATTATGAAACAATTCTGTTCATGATGAACGTTGACATCAAAGTTGTGGGCACGGAAAGTGTTTCAAATGTCGTGTTATTCTTGTCATAATGATTGATGTGTCCTCATGGTCAAAAAAACACTTGTTGGATACATGTACCGGCCATTTACCTAAAATTCAACGTGATTGTTAATGAAGTTATTTCAACTTTCCATGTAGGTCAGAATGACTGGACTAGTGTTACAGTTTTATTACTTATGTATGTACACATGATATCAATATGTTGTTCCCTCTCGATAATTTTTAATAGAACATGGCATCTCAACCTCAAAGACATCGTGGGTGCTCTCCTCAGCTCCACTCAAATTTAACATCAATATCTAAATACTTGTTGTTTTCGCTGGAGATGACAGTGATCATCGTTGAAATGATTGGAATTTATTGTTATAAGAGTATACTTTCACACTTGCTACATTCCCAAACATTTATATTTCTCATATCCTAACTGGTCAGCAAAGACTATACCCTACGAATATAACGTCCTGTAATGTAACATATTTAACGGAAATATTCAAGTCTTTGACATATTCAATATATAACATAAACCAATAAGGTGTATTTTAATAAAATATTCGAAGAGATAGTTAGATTACTGATTTGAGTAAGAACCTGAAAAAAACCTACAGAAAAGGCTCAAAGAATATTTTGATGAATATGATTTGATATCGAGTGAACAACTGGTTATAAAACAGGTTTTATGGATGTTATAGAGCATATCACTGGCATCCTTCACGAAGCAGTGGATGGAGGAGAAGCAGCAGTATGCGAATTTTTAGGTATTGCAAAAATATTCGATATCGTTAGCCACATCAGTTGTTGCATGATTCGGAAGATGAAGGAATCCGGGAGGATTCAATATGCGAAAATTGAAATCATTTTTCATTTCGGTTTAAAAAACCATATTTATGCGAATGGAGAATTATTCTCCCAACTTCAAGATAAATATAAAAAATATGAGAATTATTATGATCTCTGAATAACTTTTTGAAAAATATTTTGGAAATATATCCACAATATGTATTGTTGAAAATTGTTGAACTCAAATTGGAAGTAGTATATTTTCAGAAGAGATTAATTTTTGGGATGAAAGGGTTCTATTACAAAGAATATACAAATTTCGAATGAATTCAATTCATTTTTAAAATTATAACCTATCAATTCAAACAAAATTCCTATGTTTGATTCTGTATCAAACAAGCGACTTAATGTCATTAATCACTGTTATCGTGGCATGAGTATATTCAACACTTTCTTGAAATAAAGTTGTGATATTATCAATGAATCTAATGCTTCATTTTTCAATTTTATCCAGATTGATGCTGAAGAGGCAATAAGGAAAATATATTGTTCTGATACATCAATGTCAGTCATTAAGGATGACAGTGTTTCATGTAGGTGAAATATTATCTCGTTCATATACTATTTTGTGTGGTAGTCGTGTGAATGATATCTGAATAACTTCCACAACAATTGTTTGGAGTACAAACTGAATTGACGAAAGTGATTTTTGTATGATTCAATATTCATATAAGGGTAGTTGTTCCGTCAGTATCATTTCTTCCATGTAATTCACTGTTCATATGAAAGTAGTTGTTTCGAGAGGACCTTTTCTTCCTGTTTGTCACTTTGAAATTGATTGCTTTCTTAGTTCCTTTGGAAGTTTTTGATATTTTACTATATGAAGATTGAGAGGTAGTTAACTAAAACCTTTTGTTCCCAACAAATAAACTTTCTATGATTTTCTCAAATATTCCAATTCTTTCATCACCAGAAATAAATATTATAATGCGCCTGCTTCACTATCTGTAATACTTGATAATGTTTGACTTTATTACAACACTCCACCAGTTCATCATTAAGTGTGAGTGAAAGTTTTATGCTCCAGATATCTGTCGGTTGAATAAATGTACAGTTGACAATCTTTGATGGTTCAAAGCAATATCATAATCGTTGTATTTCCTAATTTTTTGTTCACTTACTCATGCACAACGTTCTACCGATGTATTTCTTTACTTCAATAACGGATGAGTTGATGTTTTGGTATTATTAATTTATTATAATTATGATTTCATGAATGCAATAACGACCTGCTATTGTAGATGTATATGTATATACTCTCGGGCGACTACTCTCACTCTACTCACAAACTTACTTAGAAACATCTACTACATGGGCTGAAATATCTCTGGCATATAGTCGTTAGTCTAATTGCATTCACCACTTTTTCAGTCCACAGAGATATCTGATTTCCACGCAACTGTTAGATTGTGATAATATGTTTTCCTATGTAAACAAAGTGGTGGAGACGTCGCAGAAATTGCGAATCACCGGAGTCAAAATTTTCGCCAAAATGGACAGGCTTGATGCTTCTGGAAGGACCATCAGAAAAATATTCGCCGATGATCATAGTCATCGAATATAAAGGCAGGAAAATTATAACAGATGCCAATAAAACGAAACACTTCGACATGATTTCGACAGTGTCAATGATAAAACAGAAAGTGCTTTCGTGGAAAAGAAGAAGCAAAAAAGATATTAGAATTTACAATGAACACCCAAAAAAAGAGAATGAAACAAATGTTTCAGTGGGGGATGAAAGTATTTCAAACGGAAGTAATTCTTCTGATTCGCTATCCAGTGACCAAACAAAATGACACCAGTGACGATAAATTTGTTGTTAGAAGCGATCAACAAAAATGTCATGAAATTGCATATTCAACAAACATTTTATTATGATTTTTTCACTAAACAGTTCTACAGAAACCTTTTTGAAAAACTGTTCAGTGCGAATCTCACAATAAAGTTTTTTTTGAATATGTTACCTATGAATTTTCACTAAGTATAGGCCAATTCCATCATACCTATAATATGTTATGAAATGAGTGTGGCATTTAAGAATTAACAAGCTTCAAAGGAGGTAACCCAGCATTTACATCTTATGAAAAAAATGAGGGAATGGGAATCTCACAATAAGTAGTTTTTGATTATGTTACCTATGAATTTTCATAAAGTATCGTCCAATTCCATCATACATATGTTATGAAATGAGGGTGGCATTTAAG